ATGTATTATATTTTTTTGTAAAAACTATAAATATATATATATTATATATATATATATATATAGAGAGAGAGAGAGAGAGAGAGAGAGAGAGAGAGAGCGAGAGAGAGAGAGAGATTCAGGATTCTTTGATAGAAAGTTCAAAAGAATTTATTTGAAATATATATTTTTTGTGACTTTATTAATGTTTTTACTGTCACTTTTATTTTATTTAATACATCCTTGGTAAATAAAAGTATTACCTTATTTAAATAAAAAACATAATAAACCAAGTTAAAAAAAAAAACTTTTTTGAACCCAAAATTTTGAACATTATCGCAAAGTGATTATTTTGTAACATGAACATTGTAATGTAAAGTGTGACCTCCATAGTGCTTTCTTGCCTTACCTCCTGTGTCCAGGGATTTGAGAGCTTCGGGCCGTCTCCAGAGCTTAGATCTGCTAATGACGGATAAGCCTTCAGCCACTCAGATCACTCACACTGGAGGACACAGATGAGGGATGGGAATCTCCATATTTTCCAATGACCTGACTGGCTTTTGCCTCACAGCACTCACCACAGCTGTTCCCTTCATTGTCATTTATTGAATGGCTGGCTTGAAGCTTCAGGGGTTAATTAAACTTTACTTCAAAAAACTATTTTTGCCACTAACACTCACATGATGTGCAAATATCTATACCCTGTGCAGCTCTCTGTACTGTCAGTTACTCCTTTGAGCCAGAATCACTGGTCTTTCTTCCAGATGGGATGGGTGGCAGGACTGGTTTAACATTGGCACCTGGACGGCCTGGGGAGGAGGGGAGTGTTGGCGAGACCCGCTCAGAGACTGACCGAGGAGCATCAGGGGTCAGACCAGAGTCCATGTGACCTGCGAGACATCAAACAGATATGCATTAGTCACATAAACTAGAATCTAAGATCATCTCATGAGTAGGCATAGGTATTTGAACAAACTTCTAAATAGATATGTACAATATCTATGTACAGACAGCTTCTAAAACGTAAACGTATTATGAATGTACAAACTAGATGTTAAAATGTGTAATGTATGAACAGAGAGGAAAATGCTCTTCACCTCTAAGAGAGTCCCGGTCCTGTCCCAAAATAGACATATCCAAAGGCTCTATGTTAGGCCGTGACCCAGTGTCTGATCCCTGGGCTGAGCATTCTGCTGAGAATGCCCCTGCTGAGCTCCTCATGGACAAGCCAGAACTGGCACGAGATTCCTCCGAACTGAGACAGAGTGAAAGTAGACAAAGCGAGAGATTAATAAAGTAAAAAGAAAGTTACAACATTAAACCATTTTGATAAGGGGCCATTTACACGACAATGTTTTCAGCCAAAAACGGGAAACTTTTTATGCGTTTTGCCTGTTCGTTTACACGACAACTGCGTTTTGGGGACTGAAAATGTATATTTTCAAAGTGCAAGTTTTTGAAAACGCCACCATTATCGTTTCCGTGTAAACACCCCAAACGGGAATCTTTGAAAACGGTGACGTCATGCGCGTGCGTAGTACGTGTTAGGTATGTAGACATGCGCAGTATGTGTCGATTTTAAAGGCAAGCGCAAACAAACATACACAACAATGGCGGAGTACAGTAAGGGGTATAAAATAGAATTGGGATTGGGCCTAAGTCAGTGATCGGTTTATGATCAATGATATGGACATAATAGAAGCAATATATTCACTTAACTTTGTGTGTGTTTAATACTTCATTTAACTTCCACAATAATGTAATAATGTCGTAAATGATCTTTCTCAGCAAATATTGATGTAATTTCCATTTTTTAAATTGGTAAATTCATCAGCATATCATCTACTATGGTAAACTATGGTTCAAATGTTTGGGGTCAGATTTTTAAAATATTTTTGAAATAAGTTTCTGATACTCACCAAGCCTGCATTTATTTGATCAAAAATACAGTAAAACAGTACTGTGAAATATTACATTTTAAAATAATGTTTTCTGTTTGAATATATTTTAAATTTAATATTTTAGTCCTCAGTGTCACATCCTTCAAAATCATTCTAATATGCTGATTTTGCGCTCCAGAAACATTTCCTATTATTATCAATGTTGAAAACAGTTTAACAGCTGCTTAATATTTTTGTGAAAACCATGATACATTTTTTTCAGCAACAGAAAATTTATTCAAAATGGAAATTTTTTGTAACATTATAAATGTCTTAAATGTTACTTTTGATTCATTTAATGAATCCATGCAGAATAAAAGTATAAATTTTTCTTTAAAAAAAATTCTTACTGATCAAAAATTTTGAATAGTAGTCTAATTAATTTGACTGCAAATTTGAATTAACTAACATCCCAACAAAGTTCCTATTATGCCACAATCCTCAGTTCAGCTGAAAAGAAAATCCAAATAGCAACAACAATATGAAAATGACTCTCTCTATAGGACTCTGTTAAACACACACACACAAACACACACACACACACACACACACACACACACACACACACATCAGTGCTGAATAAACAAATATCTCAAGACACCCATTAAAAGCAGGTTTTAATAAGTTTTGATTGGCATCTTGTATTTTTTTAGAGAGTTGGCAATGGTCTCTTCACAGATATCCCATGATTCCACGGCCTGCATTTTCAATTGATTTCATAAAGAGCACAGTAAAATTCATAACTTCATTGCAAAGTAACAAACTCAAAATGCATATTGCTTTTCCCCGGCAGTTAAGAAACAAAAAGTCACTGTTTAACACAATTTGGACTACCACATTAGTTTTGTCATTTTTTTCCCCTAGCTAATAAGCAAAGCGGTGGTGCAGTCGAGGCAGCTCTGTAAGTCTCCCAGGATTCCTCTTAATGAGCTAAATTACAGTGCATTTAAATATCTTGGGGACATGCATATTTCACAGGAGCAGTCTTGTATTTCCTCGCCTGTTTAGAGTCTCTGAGCTCAAACACGGGAGAGGCAAAAGCACCGATAGTCATAAATCTGCATTTACGTGCTGCAACACATACATCTTCCAGATGGCCTGGGGTATGTCAGCTACCTGAACGCTTTAACTTTGAGCTGAGGATGAAAACTTTGATATTTGAGCCTGGATGTGTGTAAAATGGAGATGGAGGTTATAAACATAAAGGGAGAGGCTACAAGATAAAACACGTCCTGGGAAATGATGTACACAAGGAGAGGACTTTGGGGAAAGGTTAATTGGTTTGCTGCTCTGGGGCCAGAGGTGAAAATGTCAAGATGTGTGTGGCATACCTGCTGTCCTCATTGAGGTCAGGAACGCCGAGGCCAACAGGACGCATTGGGGAGGAAGAGGGGCCGGGTGGAGGCCGGGACTGAGACGCTAATGATGATGGAGCTGTGGGTGCACTCCTGTGACACACACAAACACACACAACAGTATCAGTAAAGCACCATAAACACACACACTCACCAGCCTGTGGTGATGCTCTTTGCTGAGGAGACAAAATTTGGGCATTATATACAAAAACACAATAGCTTGTTACTAATCTAGGCCATTGAAATGTAGCTATGTAAAACTAAATATAGTTACTAAAAAAATCAAATGGCTAAATAGTTTATCAACAAAACATAATTGAAATTTCACTGAAATATCACTAGGACTGAAATATCAGAATAAAACATTTCAACTACTTAAAAATTAACTATTTCAAGTTTGTAGTTGATACTGTAGTTGATAAGAAGTCTCTTATGCAACCAAAATCTTGTTTGATCAAAATTACAGTAAAAACAGTAATATTGTGAAATATTATTACCATTTAAAATAACTGTATTTTAATATGTGTTCAAATGTAATTTATTCCTGTGATGGCAAAGCTGAATTTTCAGCATCATTACAGCAGTTTTCAGTGTCACATTGCTGAAATGTTAATTCATGCGTTCATGACCTCAAGGTTAGATTATTGTAACGCTTTATTGGGTGGTTGTATTGCACGCTTAATAAACAAACTCCAGCTGGTCCAAAATGCAGCAGCTAGAGTTCTTACTAGAACCAGGAAGTATGACCATATTAGCCCGGTTCTGTCAACACTGCACTGGCTCCCTATTAAACATCGTATAGATTTTAAAATCTTGCTTATTACTTATAAAGCCCTGAATGGTTTAACACCTCAGTATTTGAACAAGCTCTTATTGCATTATAGTCCTCCACGTACACTGCGTTCTCAAAACTCTGGAAATTTGATAAAACATAGAATATCAAAATCAACTGCGGGCGGCAGATCCTTCTCCTATTTAGCGCCCAAACTCTGGAATAACCTACCTAACATTGTTCGGGAGGCAGACACACTCTGTCAGTTTAAATCTAGATTAAAGACCCATCTCTTTAAACTGGCTTACACATAGCACACTAACACATTTCTAATACTCAAATCCGTTAAAGGATTTTTAGGCTGCATTAATTAGGGCAAACGGAACCAGGAACACTTCCCATAACACCCGATGTACTTGCTACATCGTTAGAAGAATGGCATCTACGCTAATATTAGTCTGTTTCTTTCTTATTCTGAGGTCACCGTAGCCACCAGATCCAGTCTGTATCCAGATCAGATGGTCACTGCAGTCACCCGGATCCAGTCCGTATCCAGCCCAGATGGTGGATCAGCACCTAGAGACGACCTCTACAGCCCTGAATGTCAGCAGAGATCAGGACAACTAGATGAGCCCCAGAGATAGATCCCCAGTGAGGACCTTGTCTCCTAGACGGCCACCGGGACAAGACCACAGGAACCAGTTGAGTCCCGGGACAAGACCACAGGAACCAGCTGAGTCCTCTGCACTATGTGACATTGCTGCAGCCTGGAATTGAACTGCTGGTTTCATCCGGCCAGAGGAGAACTGTCCCTCAACTGAGCCTGGTTTCTCCCAAGGTTTTTTCTCCATTTTGTCACCGATGGAGTTTTGGTTCCTTGCCGCTGTCGCCTCTGGCTTGCTTAGTTGGGGACACTTTATTTCCAGCGATATCGTCGACTTGATTGCACAGACACTATTTAAACTGAACTGAGCTGGATGATGACATCACTGAATTCAATGATGAACTGCCTTTAACTGAAAATTGAGTGTTTACTATTGTCATTTTGCATTATTGACACAATATTTTCCTAATTAATGCTGTTCAGTTGCTGTATTGTTCTGTATTGTTAAAAGTGCTATATAAATAAAGGTGACTTGACTTGACATGAGCCTTCAGAAATGATTCTAATATGCTGATTTGCTGCTCAAGAAACATTTATTATAAATGTTGAAAACAGTTGTGCTGCTTAATATTTTTCTCATAACCATGAGACGTAACTATAGGATTCTTTGTGGAATAAAAAAAGTTAAAAGAACAACATTTATTTGAAATGGAAATCTTTTGTATTATTATAAATGTCTTATGTCACTTTTGAGCAACTGAATGCATCATTGCTGAATAAAAGTATAAATTTATAAAAATATATATATAATAAATTGTACTGTCCACAAAATTATGAAAAGTAGAGTATATTTATGCATGCAATTTAATTATAGAAGTACAGTGTTGCATCATTAGCTTTTCAATGTGCTAACGCTAAATTCTACTGAAATCGTTAGTTGTGCAGAGTTGTAGTTGCTTATGAAAAGCATTACAAATCAGTCACTTTTGAGGCTGAATTTGAGTTAGCATGATGTCTGCCTATGTAGACAGCAAGGCAGCTCACCAGATTTTGGACCAAGCCAATGTTTTGGGGTTGGATCAGTGATCTTCTATCTCATTGTCAGTCACAGTCTTTGGGTAATGTACAGTCAAGAGTTCTGTTACCTCTGAAACAGCTCGGCATAAGCACCAGGACTCTTCCCACTCAGAGCTTCCCGAATCAGCTGCTGGCGTTGGTGATTGGAAGCCATTTCCTATGGAGTTAAAAAAAATATTGTGTTTGCATGAGTGTGACTGTTCATTTAATTCCTATCTGCTATTCCTCGCCACGATAGCTTCTGTGGATTATATCAAGCCAATAATCGTGTAAAAATATCAGAATCAGTAACTCTGACTTACTGCAGGGGTCTGCTGAGGGGTCATTTTGGCCTGGATTTTGTTCTGGTAGTTTCTGCTGTAGGAGTCTATGAGGTCAGTGGCCTCTGTTGTGTTGGCTGCCAGTAACTCGCCAGTTGAGTCTACAACAGAGTTGTCGTAAGGGCACTCGGCCATCGTGAACAGATGTCTGCTGTGGCTGCAGCAGTGAAATGCCATAGCCTCACACTGAGTACAGCTATTTACAACTATATTCTTTATAATCCTGTCGGAGTGCCCCGCAGACAAAACTGACTTCATGTAAAGGCCCCATGAAATCAAATTGGGAGTTCTGTGGCCTTTAGTCCAAGTCTGTTATTTTGTAGATGCCAACATGTATAATAACATGTTATTATACTCCTAAAAACTATAAATAAATGCATAGATAAATAAAGATAAAAAAACCCTCTAAAATCTGAAATAAATAATTAAACAAACACTTTAAATAAAATAATTTGAATACTTTTCCAGATGAAATATCAACATTGAAAAGAACATGGCGCTTGCCAAGCAATTTCATTGGGTCTTAGCGTATGGCAAAATGGGACTGTGAAAGCTCACTTGTGGAGGTGTTGTCAGGTGTGACTGAGCTGCTGTCACCTCCTCCTCCATGCTCCTCTAGACCCAGGTACTCCTTCACCAACTGTTTTAGAGTATGGTAGGCCTCAGCACGGTCATCTGATGAGCACAATAGAAGAGGAGCAATAGAAGAGGAGCAATAGAAGGAGCAATTGAGTTTCCATAAAAGAAAAAAATTTATACATTTTTGAAAATGTCCTGCTCAGGCAAAGTTGTTTTATTGTCACTTAGGTGTTTCTTACAATTCACTAAGGGAAATCAAAAGTATATTCCTATAGATATATAGATAGAAGACAGTGTAATTGACCTTAATGGGTTGATAAAAGTTTGTTACCACAAGGGATGATGTTGTCAAAGAAGCCAGGTGATTCTCTGTTGATCTTGGCATAGAAGTCAATGCGAGACACGGCAGTTTCCATCTGAGTGTTGCTGTAGAATCCTCTTGCTTTCAGAAAGCAGACGTAAGTATCAACAACAGTGGGGATCAGCAAGACGTAACGGGGTTCAAAATATGAGTTCTTCAAACTATACACTCCCTGTATTGGAACAAACACACAAAAACGTCCAAAATATATAACTGCTGGAGCATTTGACCCAGTTTTGTGCTTGGTCAACATGGTGGAACACGTTTTCTTGATACCATACCTCTAGTTCCATATGCACACAGCAGGCCAGACCTTCACGAGCCACACGCTCAATAGTTTCCCGCGACAGGCCATACCAATGTCCTCCGTACTGCATCGTCTGGACAAATTGACCCTGACAGTGAGAGAATAAAACTGAAAAAGAGACTGTAAATGGAACATGATGGCATTGAGCTCAAATTCATCTCTTAATTGGGCATCATGGATGTTCAGCACAGATTCACTGCAGAATGACCTGAACTCTTGACCTTTGGGTTGCAAGGGAACATCGTTCTTCTCACATGACAAACCTTTGACCCCTGTGTTCAACTGCACCTGGGTCCATTTAGCCGCTGCAATGCCGAAGTCGCTATCTGTCAAGCTTTTACTCGCACAAAGCAATTCTCAAACACATGTTTCTACATCTCTGGTCAAGATGGTTTTAAAACATAAGTACAAATCCCAACCATGCTCTAATCCTCTACACTATTTGCTTTAACAGGCCAAGAGAAAAGCACCAAGGAACGTTTGCGTCTACAGAATGCTGACACACATCTGTGCTGGTGTGATATAGGTAGGGGAGGTTAGTCTGTAAAACTCGCCTCTGTCTTTCTCTGCTCTGGAGGCATAAGGTTATAATCACACATCAAAAGGCTTTCTTCCAGCCTCTATCAATCAATCACACTGGACTTATAAAGCAACACTTAAGAGCTAAACGAGATAGTGGAGGCAAAGACTAGGTGTGCGCTCTTCTAAGAAGCACCTGAGGGGCCTGGGTAAAAAGAGAATCTAGGGTGAATTCTTTCCCCTCTTCACATTTTTGGCATGTCATTGCTTTAAAGACCAATATGGCCTGAGGAAGTCCTTTTCTCCAGATGAATGGGCTTAAAACTGTAACACTAAAAACTAAATATGACTAAAATACTGCCGAAGCAGATCAGAATATGATAAAAGTCTGGACAGAGAATTACCATTTGAATCATGTTCTGAAATTCTTCCTCTGTGACAAAGTGATAGTCTGATCCATCCTCTTCCCCATAATAGGGCCCCCTGGTGGTGTGGCAGGCACTAAAACAAACAAATCGATTAAAGAAACTCGAGATAAAGTAGGACTGCATGATATATTGAAATATATATTGCGATATGGCTTAGTGTGATTATCATATGGCAAAGGCTGGTATTTAATTAAACAAATATATGTGCTGGGGTTCACTCAGAAACCAACAGTGCATGTACAGTAGGCTATTTATTTGCAGGCAAACGGCCAAAATAAAAGCTTGATGGTTTAATGTTTGATAATGAAGAAATCAAGACATAAATAGTACTATAAAAATATTATTAATTAATAATTTGGCAGTATGCTTTTATTTACCACTACAAAAGTATTGTTGAAATATAGTTCTTATTTTATTCTTATTTTTATAATATATTTATTTAATAACAATCCTAATACATTTATAATATTAATAATAATTATTATTATTTTAAAGACATTTAATGGGTCGACTGTAGGAATTTTGCCTAAGAAAAATCAAGTGGAAAGTTTTTCCAAATCATTCAGCCCCAAAAGTATGGTTCACACAAAAAAGTCTTCAGAGTAAAAAGTAAAAAAAAAAAGAAAAGAAAAAAAAGAATTTTATATAATTATTTTATATGCAGTTGCATACCCCAACAGAAAACACTCAAGAATGATGAATAATTCTATTCAAATATATATTCACGTCATCTTGAGAAAATTACTGTATTTGTTTTATATTGCAATACATATCGCAGAAAAACAAAATATTGCAATGTCATTTTTTCCCAATATTGTGCAGACTTTGAACAAAATATCACATAACACCGTACAAATTAATATTTCATTTGTTTACAAATTCATATTTTAGTGACTTTTATGATGCACTCCAAACTTACCCATAAGCAAAATAGTCACTGAATTCCTGGCACAGCTTATGGGCTAGTTCCCTCTTCCCACAGGCCTGAGGGCCAGTGAGGACCAACATGGGGTACGGAGCATCCAGACTGGGGAGAGTACTTGTGGAATAACATGTGAAAATGCATATTAGCTAATGCTATTGAACTTCCTGTGAGTTCAACCATGTAGTTTATAACCAACTGGGTGACTTCAAATAGCCTCTCTACACAGCTCCAGATTGATTTTAGTTCAGACTTGAGCGCTGTGAGTGGTTTGAAGGGCTTTCTGCTTGAGGGAAGTGGCCTTTGTGGACTAGAAACGCTCATAAAATGAAGAGGAAAGTGGATCGAAAAGTTGTACCTGTCAAAAATAACCTGTGGTTGCATGAGCTGGTACATCAAGTGGGTCATGTGATCTCTGGCTGCGATCACCTCCAGAGGAGGGTCGTACTTGTTCACAGCAGACACCTGAAAATGAAAGACAGGAATGGGACTCACTACTCAACCCTGACATAATCATTGAAATATGTGCTTTGTTTTCCGACAAACTTTCAGAGCTTTCAAGTTCTATTCATTTCAGCCCTTGAACACAGAGCTCTTGACTTCAACCAGCCAGCAAATGCTCTTCAAAATGTTAGGCAAAAATAGGCTTCCTCCATCTCAAAGCCATAAACAGCACTTCCCTTTTTAGAAACTAAAGATGTAAAGCAATCGTTCCTTCTACTCCAGATCACACAATCACCTTCTCCTCTGCAGTTACAGTGTGTTGATCCAGAATGGTGAGGTGCTGAAGGAGGAATATCACAGCTAGTCTATAGTCATCCTGGTCCTGCAAGAAAGTATTTGGCATTAAGAATAAGGTGATGACATTAGGTCCAGTATTGTGGTTCTGAGATGTTTATGGTGCCCTCACCTGCACTGGGTTTCTGAGGAGATTCATTTCTCTCAACAATATCAGGTCATGCAAATGTGCAGCCTCTTTTACCTCACTGATCTGATACACAAAGAACAACAAAGAGAATTATATGTTGAGTGAAATATCGTGCGTGATGCCACATTTACACTCTCAGAACTTCAACAACTTTCCACTGGGGCAGAACCCTCAAAGGGAGATCTGAGTAGTAGTACTTAGTAGTACTTTGAGGGTATATATATATATACACAGTACTCGTTTTTTCTGGCAAATTTTAGACTTTTCTTACATTTTAGACCTTTCTAATCATTTTCATTTGGCTAAATTGGTTCATTGTTGTGGTATTGGTGGTACTCTGAGGTATAACTTTAGAGTCATTTGCATAATATAATATGACAAGAATTTGACAGCTCCTTTACCAGATTGCTCTCAAGGTTGATGTTTCCCAGGAGATGGAGGTTTTGGAGACCCGAGAGGTTTTGAAACCGGTTACAGGACAAATCCAGAACCTGCAGGTTGCGTAGAGTCTGGAGATTCTCAATCCTCTGTATCACATTCCCCCTCTTAAAAAAACACACATATAGGCCTATACAACTATCATTTCAATGAGGTAAAGAACAGTAAGTCAAAAGCTCTGCACATGATCTGCAGGGTCATGTGCCATTTCTGTCTGGCTGTGGCTGGGTGATTGACAGGTGAGCTCAGGTTATTTAAAAGGCTGATGGGTAGGGACTGACAGTCGAACATCTGGTAAGAATGTCAGGTTTGAAATCAGGGTGCAATCGTTATGGTTGGGGCCCTCTAAAATCTGAAATAAATAATTAAACAAACACTTTAAATAAAATAATTTGAATACTTTTCCAGATGAAATATCAACATTGAAAAGAACATGGCGCTTGCCAAGCAATTTCATTGGGTCTTAGCGTATGGCAAAATGGGACTGTGAAAGCTCACTTGTGGAGGTGTTGTCAGGTGTGACTGAGCTGCTGTCACCTCCTCCTCCATGCTCCTCTAGACCCAGGTACTCCTTCACCAACTGTTTTAGAGTATGGTAGGCCTCAGCACGGTCATCTGATGAGCACAATAGAAGAGGAGCAATAGAAGAGGAGCAATAGAAGGAGCAATTGAGTTTCCATAAAAGAAAAAAATTTATACATTTTTGAAAATGTCCTGCTCAGGCAAAGTTGTTTTATTGTCACTTAGGTGTTTCTTACAATTCACTAAGGGAAATCAAAAGTATATTCCTATAGATATATAGATAGAAGACAGTGTAATTGACCTTAATGGGTTGATAAAAGTTTGTTACCACAAGGGATGATGTTGTCAAAGAAGCCAGGTGATTCTCTGTTGATCTTGGCATAGAAGTCAATGCGAGACACGGCAGTTTCCATCTGAGTGTTGCTGTAGAATCCTCTTGCTTTCAGAAAGCAGACGTAAGTATCAACAACAGTGGGGATCAGCAAGACGTAACGGGGTTCAAAATATGAGTTCTTCAAACTATACACTCCCTGTATTGGAACAAACACACAAAAACGTCCAAAATATATAACTGCTGGAGCATTTGACCCAGTTTTGTGCTTGGTCAACATGGTGGAACACGTTTTCTTGATACCATACCTCTAGTTCCATATGCACACAGCAGGCCAGACCTTCACGAGCCACACGCTCAATAGTTTCCCGCGACAGGCCATACCAATGTCCTCCGTACTGCATCGTCTGGACAAATTGACCCTGACAGTGAGAGAATAAAACTGAAAAAGAGACTGTAAATGGAACATGATGGCATTGAGCTCAAATTCATCTCTTAATTGGGCATCATGGATGTTCAGCACAGATTCACTGCAGAATGACCTGAACTCTTGACCTTTGGGTTGCAAGGGAACATCGTTCTTCTCACATGACAAACCTTTGACCCCTGTGTTCAACTGCACCTGGGTCCATTTAGCCGCTGCAATGCCGAAGTCGCTATCTGTCAAGCTTTTACTCGCACAAAGCAATTCTCAAACACATGTTTCTACATCTCTGGTCAAGATGGTTTTAAAACATAAGTACAAATCCCAACCATGCTCTAATCCTCTACACTATTTGCTTTAACAGGCCAAGAGAAAAGCACCAAGGAACGTTTGCGTCTACAGAATGCTGACACACATCTGTGCTGGTGTGATATAGGTAGGGGAGGTTAGTCTGTAAAACTCGCCTCTGTCTTTCTCTGCTCTGGAGGCATAAGGTTATAATCACACATCAAAAGGCTTTCTTCCAGCCTCTATCAATCAATCACACTGGACTTATAAAGCAACACTTAAGAGCTAAACGAGATAGTGGAGGCAAAGACTAGGTGTGCGCTCTTCTAAGAAGCACCTGAGGGGCCTGGGTAAAAAGAGAATCTAGGGTGAATTCTTTCCCCTCTTCACATTTTTGGCATGTCATTGCTTTAAAGACCAATATGGCCTGAGGAAGTCCTTTTCTCCAGATGAATGGGCTTAAAACTGTAACACTAAAAACTAAATATGACTAAAATACTGCCGAAGCAGATCAGAATATGATAAAAGTCTGGACAGAGAATTACCATTTGAATCATGTTCTGAAATTCTTCCTCTGTGACAAAGTGATAGTCTGATCCATCCTCTTCCCCATAATAGGGCCCCCTGGTGGTGTGGCAGGCACTAAAACAAACAAATCGATTAAAGAAACTCGAGATAAAGTAGGACTGCATGATATATTGAAATATATATTGCGATATGGCTTAGTGTGATTATCATATGGCAAAGGCTGGTATTTAATTAAACAAATATATGTGCTGGGGTTCACTCAGAAACCAACAGTGCATGTACAGTAGGCTATTTATTTGCAGGCAAACGGCCAAAATAAAAGCTTGATGGTTTAATGTTTGATAATGAAGAAATCAAGACATAAATAGTACTATAAAAATATTATTAATTAATAATTTGGCAGTATGCTTTTATTTACCACTACAAAAGTATTGTTGAAATATAGTTCTTATTTTATTCTTATTTTTATAATATATTTATTTAATAACAATCCTAATACATTTATAATATTAATAATAATAATTATTATTTTAAAGACATTTAATGGGTCGACTGTAGGAATTTTGCCTAAGAAAAATCAAGTGGAAAGTTTTTCCAAATCATTCAGCCCCAAAAGTATGGTTCACACAAAAAAGTCTTCAGAGTAAAAAGTAAAAAAAAAAAGAAAAGAAAAAAAAGAATTTTATATAATTATTTTATATGCAGTTGCATACCCCAACAGAAAACACTCAAGAATGATGAATAATTCTATTCAAATATATATTCACGTCATCTTGAGAAAATTACTGTATTTGTTTTATATTGCAATACATATCGCAGAAAAACAAAATATTGCAATGTCATTTTTTCCCAATATTGTGCAGACTTTGAACAAAATATCACATAACACCGTACAAATTAATATTTCATTTGTTTACAAATTCATATTTTAGTGACTTTTATGATGCACTCCAAACTTACCCATAAGCAAAATAGTCACTGAATTCCTGGCACAGCTTATGGGCTAGTTCCCTCTTCCCACAGGCCTGAGGGCCAGTGAGGACCAACATGGGGTACGGAGCATCCAGACTGGGGAGAGTACTTGTGGAATAACATGTGAAAATGCATATTAGCTAATGCTATTGAACTTCCTGTGAGTTCAACCATGTAGTTTATAACCAACTGGGTGACTTCAAATAGCCTCTCTACACAGCTCCAGATTGATTTTAGTTCAGACTTGAGCGCTGTGAGTGGTTTGAAGGGCTTTCTGCTTGAGGGAAGTGGCCTTTGTGGACTAGAAACGCTCATAAAATGAAGAGGAAAGTGGATCGAAAAGTTGTACCTGTCAAAAATAACCTGTGGTTGCATGAGCTGGTACATCAAGTGGGTCATGTGATCTCTGGCTGCGATCACCTCCAGAGGAGGGTCGTACTTGTTCACAGCAGACACCTGAAAATGAAAGACAGGAATGGGACTCACTACTCAACCCTGACATTGTCATTCAAATATGTGCTTTATTTTCCAACAAACTTTCAGAGCTTTCAAGTTACTTTCTGTTCAATTCAGCCCATGAACCATGCACCTGCCAACAAATGGCTCTTCTTCAAAATATATATACATATATATTTTGTACAAAATAGGCTTCCTCCATCTCATAGCCATAAACAGCACTTCAATTTTAAGAAAGTAAAGCTGTAAAGCACCCGTTCCTTGTACTCTAGATCACACAATCACCTTCTCCTCAGCAGTTACAGTGTGTTGATCCAAAAGTACGAGATGCTGAAGGAGAAATATCACAGCAAGTCTATAGTCTTCTTGGTCCTGCAAGGAAGTATTTGGCATTAAGTATAAGGTGATGACATTAAGCCCAGTGTTACCTGTGTCGTGGTGTTCAGATGTTTATGGTGCCCTCACCTGCACTGGGTTTCTGAGGAGATTAATTTCTCTCAACAATATCAGGTCATGCAAATGTGCAGCCTCCTTTACCTCACTGATCTGATACACAAAGAACAAAAAAGATAATTATTTGTTGAGTTAAATATCTAGTCTGATGCCACATATACACTCTCAGAACTTCAACAAATTTCTACTGGGGCAGAACCTTCAAAGAGAGATCTGAGTACCTTATTTATCCCTAACAGTTCATAGTAGTACTTTATGGGTATATATTACCACTTTAAGGTACTATTTTTTTCTGGTAGATTTGAGATCTTTCTAACCATTTTCACTTGATTAAATTGATTCCTTTTAGTCTGTTATGCTCTGAGGTATAACTTTAGAGCCATCTGCATACTATAATATGACAGGAATTTGACAGCTCCTTTACCAGATTGCTCTCAAGGTTGATGTTTCCCAGGAAATGGAGATTCTGGAGACCTGAGAGGCTTTGAATCCGGTTACAGGACAAATCCAAAACCTGCAGGTTGCGTAGAGTCTGAAGATTCTCAATCTTCTGTATCACATTCCCCCTCTTGAAAAAACACACACATATATACAATTATCATTTCAATGACGTAAAGAACAGTAACTCTGAAGCTCTGCACATGATCTGCAGGGTCATGTGCCATTTCTGCCTGGCTGTGGCTGTGTGATTGACAGGTGAGCTCAGGAAATTAAAGGCTGATGGGTAAGAACTGACAGGCGAACATCTGGTAAGATGTAGCATGTGCATATCAATGAACGAGAGGCTTTCCGTACAGCCTACCCGTCTCACCTCACTTTCCAGCCCTTGTATTGGGTTTGAAATCAGGGTACAATGATTATGGCTGGGCTCAGGGTTATTGTAGTTAACAGAAACTAAAAAGCATATATATTTTTGTTGCTTGAAATAAAATATATGTTAACTGAAATAAAATAAAACTCAAACAAAAAAAAACTATAGACACGTTAAAAAACAATAATTAACAATAAAATGACAACAAAATGACTAAACTTTAACTAAAATTAAAAGGAAAAAAGAAAATACAAAAATAAAAGCAAATTCAAAATATATATATATAAAAAAAAAATAATAATAATAACAACACTGGTCGGAGTCAGCTTGATCGATTTGATCCACTGGATTCAACGCAATTCAGCAAAAAAAAAAATTGACCGTGAAAACATCACAAATTAAGAAATTTTGTACGCACATTCCACAACCCATCAGAGTGTCGACACTTTACAGGCATGCTCATGACCCTAAATAACAAAAACTAACAAACTTTAAAGAAAAACATTCTAAGGTAACCAGTATTTCTAGCAACTCAAAAAATGAAAAGCGTAAAATTGACCCGTAACCTATTACAGGGGCTAGAAAGATTCCAGCTTCCCAAGCCTTAGCCTTATAACACCCCCATGCCTGGCGCAGAACAGCAGGGGATGGTGACCACGAGGGGCTCTGGAAGATCTAGATCCAAAGTGTGATGGGTGTGAGCGGAACAGGCTGACAGGCGCACGCTGTTCAGAGTCTCAGAGCAACAGGGGAGGGGCGACGGACAGGTTCAGTGTGTGGGAGGGTGTGTTTTTTTTTTTAACAGGGTCCAGGCTCCCTCACGCCAGCAGCTTGGCCTCGTGGGGACGTGGACACCAAAGGACGTGGCGCTGCTGACGATGAAGAATCTCTTTGATAAAGGACAGCATAAACATCCTTCAGCTGAGTGGCAAAGGTCTGGTGGCACGCTGGCCTGCCATATGGCGGGCTTCAACACCAGGCTTTGTTATATTTTCCGAAAATGCTGGCGCTTAATCATTCATACTATCTGAAAAACACAGTTAGCGGATGGTTTGGGAAAAAAGAATAACTGTCAGTGGTATCAAAACGGCAGGAGGACGTGCCAAAACAAGAGGCTGTAGTGTTGCCCACACTATCACAGACAGAAAGCGTGGTAACCTTTCTGAAAGTGTTGACACAACAACATAATCTGGAAGAGGATGACAGGTGATGGGGAGATACTAAGGGTGAGCAGAAAAATATGTCAACAGGTTTTGCAGGCGGATTAAGTAATTAATCCAAACACGTAAACACTTTGAGGAAAAACAGGAAAGACCTCTAATTTCTGCATTCCAATCTCAAATTAAAATCAAGCGTGAGTAGTACATTTATTTATTGCCCCATCATGAAGAGTGTGACATTTTCCCAAACAGAAATTAACATTTTATAGTTAAATATTCAATACCTGTCCCCGGATCCAGTCCGTATCCAGCCCAGATGGTGGATCAGCACCTAGAGACGACCTCTACAGCCCTGAATGTCAGCAGAGATCAGGACAACTAGATGAGCCCCAGAGATAGATCCCCAGTGAGGACCTTGTCTCCTAGACGGCCACCGGGACAAGACCACAGGAACCAGTTGAGTCCCGGGACAAGACCACAGGAACCAGCTGAGTCCTCTGCACTATGTGACATTGCTGCAGCCTGGAATTGAACTGCTGGTTTCATCCGGCCAGAGGAGAACTGTCCCTCAACTGAGCCTGGTTTCTCCCAAGGTTTTTTCTCCATTTTGTCACCGATGGAGTTTTGGTTCCTTGCCGCTGTCGCCTCTGGCTTGCTTAGTTGGGGACACTTTATTTCCAGCGATATCGTCGACTTGATTGCACAGACACTATTTAAACTGAACTGAGCTGGATGATGACATCACTGAATTCAATGATGAACTGCCTTTAACTGAAAATTGAGTGTTTACTATTGTCATTTTGCATTATTGACACAATATTTTCCTAATTAATGCTGTTCAGTTGCTGTATTGTTCTGTATTGTTAAAAGTGCTATATAAATAAAGGTGACTTGACTTGACATGAGCCTTCAGAAATGATTCTAATATGCTGATTTGCTGCTCAAGAAACATTTATTATAAATGTTGAAAACAGTTGTGCTGCTTAATATTTTTCTCATAACCATGAGACGTAACTATAGGATTCTTTGTGGAATAAAAAAAGTTAAAAAGAACAACATTTATTTGAAATAGAAATCTTTTGTATTATTATAAATGTCTTATGTCACTTTTGAGCAACTGAATGCATCATTGCTGAATAAAAGTATAAATTTATAAAAATATATATATAATAAATTGTACTGTCCACAAAATTATGAAAAGTAGAGTATATTTATGCATGCAATTTAATTATAGAAGTACAGTGTTGCATCATTAGCTTTTCAATGTGCTAACGCTAAATTCTACTGAAATCGTTAGTTGTGCAGAGTTGTAGTTGCTTATGAAAAGCATTACAAATCAGTCACTTTTGAGGCTGAATTTGAGTTAGCATGATGTCTGCCTATGTAGACAGCAAGGCAGCTCACCAGATTTTGGACCAAGCCAATGTTTTGGGGTTGGATCAGTGATCTTCTATCTCATTGTCAGTCACAGTCTTTGGGTAATGTACAGTCAAGAGTTCTGTTACCTCTGAAACAGCTCGGCATAAGCACCAGGACTCTTCCCACTCAGAGCTTCCCGAATCAGCTGCTGGCGTTGGTGATTGGAAGCCATTTCCTATGGAGTTAAAAAAAATATTGTGTTTGCATGAGTGTGACTGTTCATTTAATTCCTATCTGCTATTCCTCGCCACGATAGCTTCTGTGGATTATATCAAGCCAATAATCGTGTAAAAATATCAGAATCAGTAACTCTGACTTACTGCAGGGGTCTGCTGAGGGGTCATTTTGGCCTGGATTTTGTTCTGGTAGTTTCTGCTGTAGGAGTCTATGAGGTCAGTGGCCTCTGTTGTGTTGGCTGCCAGTAACTCGCCAGTTGAGTCTACAACAGAGTTGTCGTAAGGGCACTCGGCCATCGTGAACAGATGTCTGCTGTGGCTGCAGCAGTGAAATGCCATAGCCTCACACTGAGTACAGCTATTTACAACTATATTCTTTATAATCCTGTCGGAGTGCCCCGCAGACAAAACTGACTTCATGTAAAGGCCCCATGAAATCAAATTGGGAGTTCTGTGGCCTTTAGTCCAAGTCTGTTATTTTGTAGATGCCAACATGTATAATAACATGTTATTATACTCCTAAAAACTATAAATAAATGCATAGATAAATAAAGATAAAAAAACCCTCTAAAATCTGAAATAAATAATTAAACAAACACTTTAAATAAAATAATTTGAATACTTTTCCAGATGAAATATCAACATTGAAAAGAACATGGCGCTTGCCAAGCAATTTCATTGGGTCTTAGCGTATGGCAAAATGGGACTGTGAAAGCTCACTTGTGGAGGTGTTGTCAGGGGTGACTGAGCTGCTGTCACCTCCTCCTCCATGCTCCTCTAGACCCAGGTACTCCTTCACCAACTGTTTTAGAGTATGGTAGGCCTCAGCACGGTCATCTGATGAGCACAATAGAAGAGGAGCAATAGAAGAGGAGCAATAGAAGGAGCAATTGAGTTTCCATAAAAGAAAAAAATTTATACATTTTTGAAAATTTCCTGCTCAGGCAAAGTTGTTTTATTGTCACTTAGGTGTTTCTTACAATTCACTAAGGGAAATCAAAAGTATATTCCTATAGATATATAGATAGAAGACAGTGTAATTGACCTTAATGGGTTGATAAAAGTTTGTTACCACAAGGGATGATGTTGTCAAAGAAGCCAGGTGATTCTCTGTTGATCTTGGCATAGAAGTCAATGCGAGACACGGCAGTTTCCATCTGAGTGTTGCTGTAGAATCCTCTTGCTTTCAGAAAGCAGACGTAAGTATCAACAACAGTGGGGATCAGCAAGACGTAACGGGGTTCAAAATATGAGTTCTTCAAACTATACACTCCCTGTATTGGAACAAACACACAAAAACGTCCAAAATATATAACTGCTGGAGCATTTGACCCAGTTTTGTGCTTGGTCAACATGGTGGAACACGTTTTCTTGATACCATACCTCTAGTTCCATATGCACACAGCAGGCCAGACCTTCACGAGCCACACGCTCAATAGTTTCCCGCGACAGGCCATACCAATGTCCTCCGTACTGCATCGTCTGGACAAATTGACCCTGACAGTGAGAGAATAAAACTGAAAAAGAGACTGTAAATGGAACATGATGGCATTGAGCTCAAATTCATCTCTTAATTGGGCATCATGGATGTTCAGCACAGATTCACTGCAGAATGACCTGAACTCTTGACCTTTGGGTTGCAAGGGAACATCGTTCTTCTCACATGACAAACCTTTGACCCCTGTGTTCAACTGCACCTGGGTCCATTTAGCCGCTGCAATGCCGAAGTCGCTATCTGTCAAGCTTTTACTCGCACAAAGCAATTCTCAAACACATGTTTCTACATCTCTGGTCAAGATGGTTTTAAAACATAAGTACAAATCCCAACCATGCTCTAATCCTCTACACTATTTGCTTTAACAGGCCAAGAGAAAAGCACCAAGGAACGTTTGCGTCTACAGAATGCTGACACACATCTGTGCTGGTGTGATATAGGTAGGGGAGGTTAGTCTGTAAAACTCGCCTCTGTCTTTCTCTGCTCTGGAGGCATAAGGTTATAATCACACATCAAAAGGCTTTCTTCCAGCCTCTATCAATCAATCACACTGGACTTATAAAGCAACACTTAAGAGCTAAACGAGATAGTGGAGGCAAAGACTAGGTGTGCGCTCTTCTAAGAAGCACCTGAGGGGCCTGGGTAAAAAGAGAATCTAGGGTGAATTCTTTCCCCTCTTCACATTTTTGGCATGTCATTGCTTTAAAGACCAATATGGCCTGAGGAAGTCCTTTTCTCCAGATGAATGGGCTTAAAACTGTAACACTAAAAACTAAATATGACTAAAATACTGCCGAAGCAGATCAGAATATGATAAAAGTCTGGACAGAGAATTACCATTTGAATCATGTTCTGAAATTCTTCCTCTGTGACAAAGTGATAGTCTGATCCATCCTCTTCCCCATAATAGGGCCCCCTGGTGGTGTGGCAGGCACTAAAACAAACAAATCGATTAAAGAAACTCGAGATAAATTAGGACTGCATGATATATTGAAATATATATTGCGATATGGCTTAGTGTGATTATCATATGGCAAAGGCTGGTATTTAATTAAACAAATATATGTGCTGGGGTTCACTCAGAAACCAACAGTGCATGTACAGTAGGCTATTTATTTGCAGGCAAACGGCCAAAATAAAAGCTTGATGGTTTAATGTTTGATAATGAAGAAATCAAGACATAAATAGTACTATAAAAATATTATTAATTAATAATTTGGCAGTATGCTTTTATTTACCACTACAAAAGTATTGTTGAAATATAGTTCTTATTTTATTCTTATTTTTATAATATATTTATTTAATAACAATCCTAATACATTTATAATATTAATAATAATAATTATTATTTTAAAGACATTTAATGGGTCGACTGTAGGAATTTTGCCTAAGAAAAATCAAGTGGAAAGTTTTTCCAAATCATTCAGCCCCAAAAGTATGGTTCACACAAAAAAGTCTTCAGAGTAAAAAGTAAAAAAAAAAAGAAAAGAAAAAAAAGAATTTTATATAATTATTTTATATGCAGTTGCATACCCCAACAGAAAACACTCAAGAATGATGAATAATTCTATTCAAATATATATTCACGTCATCTTGAGAAAATTACTGTATTTGTTTTATATTGCAATACATATCGCAGAAAAACAAAATATTGCAATGTCATTTTTTCCCAATATTGTGCAGACTTTGAACAAAATATCACATAACACCGTACAAATTAATATTTCATTTGTTTACAAATTCATATTTTAGTGACTTTTATGATGCACTCCAAACTTACCCATAAGCAAAATAGTCACTGAATTCCTGGCACAGCTTATGGGCTAGTTCCCTCTTCCCACAGGCCTGAGGGCCAGTGAGGACCAACATGGGGTACGGAGCATCCAGACTGGGGAGAGTACTTGTGGAATAACATGTGAAAATGCATATTAGCTAATGCTATTGAACTTCCTGTGAGTTCAACCATGTAGTTTATAACCAACTGGGTGACTTCAAATAGCCTCTCTACACAGCTCCAGATTGATTTTAGTTCAGACTTGAGCGCTGTGAGTGGTTTGAAGGGCTTTCTGCTTGAGGGAAGTGGCCTTTGTGGACTAGAAACGCTCATAAAATGAAGAGGAAAGTGGATCGAAAAGTTGTACCTGTCAAAAATAACCTGTGGTTGCATGAGCTGGTACATCAAGTGGGTCATGTGATCTCTGGCTGCGATCACCTCCAGAGGAGGGTCGTACTTGTTCACAGCAGACACCTGAAAATGAAAGACAGGAATGGGACTCACTACTCAACCCTGACATTGTCATTCAAATATGTGCTTTATTTTCCAACAAACTTTCAGAGCTTTCAAGTTACTTTCTGTTCAATTCAGCCCATGAACCATGCACCTGCCAACAAATGGCTCTTCTTCAAAATATATATACATATATATTTTGTACAAAATAGGCTTCCTCCATCTCATAGCCATAAACAGCACTTCAATTTTAAGAAAGTAAAGCTGTAAAGCACCCGTTCCTTGTACTCTAGATCACACAATCACCTTCTCCTCAGCAGTTACAGTGTGTTGATCCAAAAGTACGAGATGCTGAAGGAGAAATATCACAGCAAGTCTATAGTCTTCTTGGTCCTGCAAGGAAGTATTTGGCATTAAGTATAAGGTGATGACATTAAGCCCAGTGTTACCTGTGTCGTGGTGTTCAGATGTTTATGGTGCCCTCACCTGCACTGGGTTTCTGAGGAGATTAATTTCTCTCAACAATATCAGGTCATGCAAATGTGCAGCCTCCTTTACCTCACTGATCTGATACACAAAGAACAAAAAAGATAATTATTTGTTGAGTTAAATATCTAGTCTGATGCCACATATACACTCTCAGAACTTCAACAAATTTCTACTGGGGCAGAACCTTCAAAGAGAGATCTGAGTACCTTATTTATCCCTAACAGTTCATAGTAGTACTTTATGGGTATATATTACCACTTTAAGGTACTATTTTTTTCTGGTAGATTTGAGATCTTTCTAACCATTTTCACTTGATTAAATTGATTCCTTTTAGTCTGTTATGCTCTGAGGTATAACTTTAGAGCCATCTGCATACTATAATATGACAGGAATTTGACAGCTCCTTTACCAGATTGCTCTCAAGGTTGATGTTTCCCAGGAAATGGAGATTCTGGAGACCTGAGAGGCTTTGAATCCGGTTACAGGACAAATCCAAAACCTGCAGGTTGCGTAGAGTCTGAAGATTCTCAATCTTCTGTATCACATTCCCCCTCTTGAAAAAACACACACATATATACAATTATCATTTCAATGACGTAAAGAACAGTAACTCTGAAGCTCTGCACATGATCTGCAGGGTCATGTGCCATTTCTGCCTGGCTGTGGCTGTGTGATTGACAGGTGAGCTCAGGAAATTAAAGGCTGATGGGTAAGAACTGACAGGCGAACATCTGGTAAGATGTAGCATGTGCATATCAATGAACGAGAGGCTTTCCGTACAGCCTACCCGTCTCACCTCACTTTCCAGCCCTTGTATTGGGTTTGAAATCAGGGTACAATGATTATGGCTGGGCTCAGGGTTATTGTAGTTAACAGAAACTAAAAAGCATATATATTTTTGTTGCTTGAAATAAAATATATGTTAACTGAAATAAAATAAAACTCAAACAAAAAAAAACTATAGACACGTTAAAAAACAATAATTAACAATAAAATGACAACAAAATGACTAAACTTTAACTAAAATTAAAAGGAAAAAAGAAAATACAAAAATAAAAGCAAATTCAAAATATATATATATAAAAAAAAATAATAATAATAACAACACTGGTCGGAGTCAGCTTGATCGATTTGATCCACTGGATTCAACGCAATTCAGCAAAAAAAAAAATTGACCGTGAAAACATCACAAATTAAGAAATTTTGTACGCACATTCCACAACCCATCAGAGTGTCGACACTTTACAGGCATGCTCATGACCCTAAATAACAAAAACTAACAAACTTTAAAGAAAAACATTCTAAGGTAACCAGTATTTCTAGCAACTCAAAAAATGAAAAGCGTAAAATTGACCCGTAACCTATTACAGGGGCTAGAAAGATTCCAGCTTCCCAAGCCTTAGCCTTATAACACCCCCATGCCTGGCGCAGAACAGCAGGGGATGGTGACCACGAGGGGCTCTGGAAGATCTAGATCCAAAGTGTGATGGGTGTGAGCGGAACAGGCTGACAGGCGCACGCTGTTCAGAGTCTCAGAGCAACAGGGGAGGGGCGACGGACAGGTTCAGTGTGTGGGAGGGTGTGTTTTTTTTTTTAACAGGGTCCAGGCTCCCTCACGCCAGCAGCTTGGCCTCGTGGGGACGTGGACACCAAAGGACGTGGCGCTGCTGACGATGAAGAATCTCTTTGATAAAGGACAGCATAAACATCCTTCAGCTGAGTGGCAAAGGTCTGGTGGCACGCTGGCCTGCCATATGGCGGGCTTCAACACCAGGCTTTGTTATATTTTCCGAAAATGCTGGCGCTTAATCATTCATACTATCTGAAAAACACAGTTAGCGGATGGTTTGGGAAAAAAGAATAACTGTCAGTGGTATCAAAACGGCAGGAGGACGTGCCAAAACAAGAGGCTGTAGTGTTGCCCACACTATCACAGACAGAAAGCGTGGTAACCTTTCTGAAAGTGTTGACACAACAACATAATCTGGAAGAGGATGACAGGTGATGGGGAGATACTAAGGGTGAGCAGAAAAATATGTCAACAGGTTTTGCAGGCGGACCCTAATTAATCCAAACACGTAAACACTTTGAGGAAAAACAGGAAAGACCTCTAATTTCTGCATTCCAATCTCAAATTAAAATCAAGCGTGAGTAGTACATTTATTTATTGCCCCATCATGAAGAGTGTGACATTTTCCCAAACAGAAATTAACATTTTATAGTTAAATATTCAATACCTGTCCTGCCGTACCACTGTTAATTTCTCACCTCAAAACACATATGAATTAATCTGCAAACTTGCTCTTAGTATTAACAAGTAAGTATTTCATGAAATACATTCATATTTTATACCTCTCTGCACTTATTAATCATCTGGAATAAATTAGCTGTGTTAAAAAGGCGTTGCTGTAATAACTGGTGAGTGTGTGTTTGTGTTTAAGAGGGCTGACAGTACCAGGCAGAGTGTTCTGAGGGGCAGATGGTCCAGACCCCTAATGCGAGAGATCTTGTTATGGGCCAGGCTGAGGTGTGAGAGCCTTTTGCACTTTTCCAGCCCCCTGATGGCACTAAATGAATTATCTGAAAAGCAAGGCACAGTCAAAGAATGTTTCATACACTTGTTTTTAACAAATCAATAGTTTTGTCAACAAAAGTCAACATAAATCAGCCAAGTTACTTTTATTAGGCATCCTTGGCCAGGCCTTAGTGATATCGCTATTTATCAGTGCATGCTATTTAAAATTCTGGTCATTTTCTTTTCGGCTGACGTCACCAGTCCCTATTTTTCATCAAGCTAGCTTCATTTTGGTATGTGACACCCACTTATCCTGCTCTAATCGATTCCAAAAAGCAATGGTGCGTTCCATTTGTACCTGGAAGTCTGAAATTCTGAGTTCCCAGAAGGAACTTTTAACTAAAATACCCCAAGTCTGAATTGTGACTCTAATATACTGTATGGTTAATTAACACATTTGTTTGTCTGTGTCTCAATAAACCTGTTGGTATTATCCAGCTTTATCTGTGCACAATACTGCTTTATTATGTGTTTTTATCAACCAGTATTGCTAACAATGGAGGCATCCATCTTGGTTTTCCGACTTTTGTACAGGAATGCAGTCAACTCGGGTGTGACGTCATTCCCATCCGACTTCTGAGTTAAATGGAACACAGAGACAGCCCTGCCCTATATTATTTTCACGCCTGTTTTACTTGGAAATACAATAATGAAGTAAAATTAATTGCGAAAGATGTGCTTTGTAATCTTCAAAAGGATACAGTCAAGAATCAGTTTGGTCAAAGAGAAATATGCAGAAAGATCCTTCATTACTGACATCTGGTTATGTGAGAAATTGACCTCCTGCATTAAAAAAAGAAAAGGACAGTATATAAACATCAGTAAAAAAAACAAAACTACAAGAACATTTTGAACCATTTAAATTACAATAACCCTCCTTAAATGAGGAAAAAAATCTGTATTTAAGTAAAAAATGTAAAACATCTAACTTTAATTAACAGTAAAACATCTCTGAGACCCAGTGAAGTTACTCTTCATTCACTCTTGCATAAGAAAGCTGAACCTCACATGCCATCACATTATCCCCTCTGTAGTAAATAGAATCACCTTGAGATATTTTGGTGGCTGGAATCCAAAGAAATCGGTGAGTTGGTTGTGGGAAGCATCCAGTATGATGAGGTGTGGCATGTGACTCACGCAGGATAGATCTACCAGTCACAAAAAATGAGGCGGAAAGAGCAAGAGAGAGATGGATGACAAGCATCCACACAGCTGAGATTATTTATCCCGCTACCAAGCAACCATGAAGGGCACGCATGAAAAACTAAATCCGGCAAACATTTTCAACAAGAGGATATTAGAGCAAATATCTACATTAGTGGAAGACAAATATGAGGGGGTCCGGAACATGACAGCAAATTTCATTTCACCATATAGTTTTCTTGTAACACAAACATTAAACTGGAGTAAACCTACCTTTGATTTTATTGTAGGGAAGCTCGAGCTTTTGTAGATAGATATAATTGCATAAAATTGAGACATTTTTCAAGTCTTGCCCCTGTGGCCAAACACAATCAGAAATTCAGTTAAGGTGCCAATAAAATGTCATCCGGTAAAACCCTGAAACTAGAGGAGAGACACATTAGAAAAAGGATGTAAACTAATTTGGAGGCCACTTTTGTCTCTCTCTCTCTCCAGCGAAGTCATGCAACTAAACAATATCAGTGGTTCCGGAAAAATATATTGATATTCTACCCTGGAGCTCTGTCGCATAAGCCTGGGAAATTTTATATGGGAAATATCAATTGTTGCCTAGTGATGTAAATTAGAAAAAGGATGTAAACTAATTTGGAGGCCACTTTTGTCTCTCTCTCTCCAGCGAAGTCATGCAACTAAACAATATCAGTGGTTCCGGAAAAATATATTGATATTCTACCCTGGAGCTCTGTCGCATAAGCCTGGGAAATTTTATATGGGAAATATCAATTGTTGCCTAGTGATGTAGCAGTCTCAGTGTGTGTGTGTGTGTGTGTTTGTGGATCACACTGTGGAGAGCAAATGTTCCCCCAAGGCCAGTAAATCCACTCACATTGTGGAGACCAGCCGATAAAAATCAGCTTAATAAACATACTAAATAATGTCTAAACCCGTTAAACAGTCAAAACAGCTAGTGACTGTATGCGCTTTATGCCTATCAAAAAACTATCAATAACTTCTCAAATTGTTCAATAAAAATCAATAAAATATGTTTTTTTTATTATTATCAGGCATATGAGAGGAATAGGGGAATAAAAAAAATGCAATCTGTCATTTTATCATTTTAATTCAGCTACTATTCAAAATGTTGCTCTACCGTTATCACAAATGTAATAATAGCATTACATCACTTGCTCACCAAAGGATCCTCTGCAGTGAATGGGTGCCGTCAGAATGAGAGCCCAAACAGCTGATAAAAACATCACAATAATCCACAAGTAATCCACATGACTCCAGTCCATTAATAGACGGCTTGTGAAGTGAAAAGCTGCGTGTTTGAAATAAACGAATCCATTATTATCAGCTTTTTATCAGCTGTTTGGACTCTCATTCTGACGGCACCCATTCACTGCAGAGGACCCATTGGTTAGCAAGTGATGCAATGCTAAGCTGTTTGGAATCTAAACAAATAAATATTAAACAAATATTAAATCAATATAAAAACAATGCAAGTCAATGAAAATCCCACAATAACAAAAAACATCAATGTGTGTGTGGATCACTCACTCGCACAGAGAGGCATAGGTAAGTGTGCTGGAGTCCTGTAGCCGACTGTCCCAGGTTGGACAGGCATTTATACACCTGGTCCTCCGTTAATTCACCATCATTCTCCAATTCATGCAAAAGAATAAAGGAAATGTTGGCTACAATGAGTCAAATGTCTAAGGAAATTATATCATAAATGAGTAAATAGTCATGTTTGAGTGCTGTTACCTCCATTGTTGTTGTGTGTATTGACTGTGCCTCTCTTCTGCTGCTGTCTCTATGGTCTCCAGTCTCCAGTGAGCAGCGCTTATTGCTGGAGAAAAGGAGGAATCTGACATGTCCAGCTTAACACAAACGCCAAAGATTAATTATTTGACTCCACTAATTACGAAAACAACCCCCAATAGACGCTAGTTAAGGCGGACTTTCTGTGAGAAGCTTAAATAACCTCGAGTTGCACGCGCATCGGTTGCCTGGTTACCAACAGTACATAAACTAAAGTAGCGCCAGCGTTGTGCACACGCGCATGGCTGGAACGCTACGATTCAGTTATCAGCTAAGCTAAACTAAGCTAAAATCTGACTCAAGTTCTTTTAAAGCATGTTAATAAATACATGTATAATAAATAAATACCTTCAAACTTTTTGTAATACATAAGCTATTATACTTTGTATTACACAATTATACATACAGGTGCATCTCAATAAATTAGAATGTCGTGGAAAAGTTCATTTATTTCAGTAATTCAACTCAATTTGTGAAACTCGTGCATTAAATAAATTCAATGCACACAGACTGAAGTAGTTTAAGTCTTTGGTTCTTTTAATTGTAATGATTTTGGCTCACATTTAACAAAAACCCACCAGTTCACTATCTCAACAAATTAGAATATGGTGACATGCCAATCAGCTAATCAACTCAAAACACCTGCAAAGCTTTCCTGAGCCTTCAAAATGGTCTCTCAGTTTGGTTCACTAGGCTACACAATCATGGGGAAGACTGATGATCTGACAGTTGTCCAGAAGACAATCATTGACCCCCTTCACAAGGAGGGTAAGCCACAAACATTCATTGCTAAAGAAGCTGGCTGTTCACAGAGTGCTGTATCCAAGCATGTTAACAGAAAGTTGAGTGGAAGGAAAAAGTGTGGAAGAAAAAGTTGCACAACCAACCGAGAGAACCGCAGCCTTATGAGAATTGTCAAGCAAAATCGATTCAAGAATTTGAGTGAACTTCTCAAGTGAACTTTTCCACGACATTCTAATTTATTGAGATGCACCTGTACTGTATACACACACACACACAAACACCGGCATTTCTATCATTATGGGGACATCCCATAGGTGTAATGATTTTTCTACTGTACATTCTGTATAGTCTATCCTTTTACACCAATGATTTATAAGCTTGTTTCTTCATGGGGACAAAAAAAAAAAAGTCCCCTCAAGGTCAAAATTTACTGGTATTAATTTATTTGTGGGGACATTTGGTCTTCATAATGTAGGCAGGGAATACAGTACACACACATTTTATATAATGTAAAAATGATATTACATCTAAGTATTGAATACATGTATATAATGTATTCTTCAAAAATAATCTATTATTTTTGTTAGTATCTGTGTTATCAGATGTTTTCCCTGAATTGTTGACAGCACATTCATCAAGTGAAACATATGAATAAAGTTCTAACGTTAAATGAAATTAAACTCACTTGTGAAATATACAGATGATCTTGTTTCTGTTATATTCATTTATTTTCACTTTGACATTACCATTGGCAAAATTCACTTTGAATCCAGTAGTCCAGGGCTGTGAGAGGCTCCTCAGGATGAAGGACTTATATAAGCAGTTAATTGAAATTTACAAGCATGTACATGAACACCTCAAATGTTATTAAAAGCTACACACAAAATACATACTAAAAATACACAAAAACAAAGGCATGAAATAGTTTTGCTCTGACATAATTTGTGCAAAGAACATCAGATTCTGTTGCAGTAATGTCTAAATGAATTATAGTTGAATTATAGTTGCACGGTATAATGCTAACAGAAGTGCTTGAGTCAGTCGCTTCATTTAAACAGCATTGCGGACCTGATAATGGCTTAAACTGTATGAGTTTAGTAAGACTCCTCTCACTAGATGCATTACAGGCATAATAAAACAAGGCAGACATGACATTTCTAATGTCTAACCATTGCTCTAAAACATCTTCAACATTCACACACAATTTTAATGTGCTAAGAATATGAAAGATCACCACTGTGTTTCTCTCTGTGGCAACCTGGTGGCAATTATTGATTCGAGTGGTTGAGTCATTTTGATGGATTGCTCTGATGGCTTCCTGCTTAACGCATGTGTTCTGTATCGATGGCTTTCTCTCTTGCTCTAGTCTTCATAATTAATAAACTAAAAATAGCCTAGAACAGAGCATGAGTGATCTGTGGGGTTTTGTGTCTGTTTGAACAAGGAATAAGAGGTTCAGATTCAAATGAAAGCAGACACAGTCAAAGGGCAGAAAGTGAACGTGTCATTCGGCATTTGAAGTGATATTCGAATATATATCAACATCAAGGCTTAGAAACTAATTTCTTTGCCTGTTTAAACAACCAGGGAATCCACTGTTATTAGCACAATCAATGACTATGCACCTATGTCATGACAATTAGACCTGCAACGAGTAGGGAGAAATTTAAGAACTGCTGAATGAGGTTAGCGATTCCCATTTCCTCTCGAGCAAAAAGAACAAATCAACAAGTGGCAGACAAGCTGTTTCTTTTTTTCCCCCTCATAAAAAAGCCTGGCGTTCTAAACTGGCATCTGTTATTCTAAGCACAAGCTCCGGGCTGGGCAGGGAGAGACGGCACACAAGAAAATTCTATAATTGAGAGCAGAGGTTTGATAAAGTAAGAAAATGAGATGAAAATGTCCCTAAGCTACAATGAGTGAATCCGTCCTCTCGCTCTGAAACGTGTGGCCCGGTTTAACCAGAAAAGATACAAGGGATTCATTTATTAGAACATGTCTGTGTGTGCATTTGTGTGCACAAAGCCCTGGTCAGAAATGCATCTAACAAATACTGTAAAGCAAGAAAATGAAATGAAACCATTATAATGTTTGCTTGAAAGTGTGACTTGACTCAAAGCCTGTGACAGTAATGAACGGCAGTAACGTGGACCCTTTCAGAGTGTTGGTAGATATAGTTTAAACGTGTGTCTAGACTGTAGTGATCTTCTTATCCTTGGTAGCCTGTTTAATGGCAGCCTGTTCGCATATGATCTCTTTGAGGCGCTGCAGCCGCATGTTCTGCACGGTCAGGTCTCCCACGCCAGTCTGGCTGCGGTGGAGGAGACTCAGAGCATTGATGTACTCCAGCTCTGTGTAACGCACCCCTTGATCAACCACCAGGTTTAGCAGCTCGTCGGCTGTATTATACAGCATCTCATAGTACTGTCTGCAGAGAAAGACACAGAGAGAGAGCTGGTGTTATTTCAGATGTATGTTAATTCTCATAAACACAAATGATCAACAAAATGTTGTAACGAAAGAATGTAAGCATGAAAATAATGCAACAAAATGAAAGTTCTGTCAACAGAGCTGAAACTCTTTTACACTGGCCTTACTCTTCCTTATTGTGAAGCCATGCATTCACAAAACTTGTTTTCCATGAACCCTTTGGCTCAAACATGCTGTTGACCAATGGAATGGAACAACATGCATTAAACATTAGACATATAGTTCAAGGAGACCACTTACTTACACATGAGTATGCATACAGACACCCACACAAAGGACTTATAACTTCTATTTCTGCAGAAGAGGCACATTTGTAACAGGGGTGATAAGAGCTGAATGTGTTTTGACCCCATCAACGCAGACGACTCCTCCGAATCTCTCTCTCATGCTGCATTACTCAGACACATAGAAAAGGCCTTAGCCAGCAGGACTCTCTCTAACTCCCCTATCAAGCTGGCACACTCCTCCAGGTGCTCAGAGACTTCTGGCTGCACTCGAAATGAGCCGAAGAGCCCATTTGATACAACCTCACGCTTTAAAGGTGCTCCGTACAGAGCAAACACAGGCAGAAATGGACAATTTTAGTCTTTTCATCATGGAGCACATGTACATTTTAAAGCCATGCCAGGCATCATAAGGACTAGAGGTTATGAACTTCTGGACATATTAAACTTCTGGAGAACCATGGAGATGCTTCATGGCTGTGATTTCTACTATAGTACAAATATATTCTACTGAAACAAGGTTATGGCATATAATTTGTCACTTAGCATTAGTTTTACAGACGTTATATACTAAATCATGTGGCCTTTTGTGGACACATTTCTTTAAGTGACTGGACTTGATTCAATGCTGTAAATAAAACAAATATTATAAATATTTCAGTCTTTCTACTTTAAAATTTCACATTTATTTGTAATTAATTGTGAAATTTATTAGCAATTTATGTATGAAAATTTTTTCTTCACCATTTTTTTTTTTCAGTGTAGAGATTTGGAGGTGGGCTTTTTTGACTTAGGCCAGTAGTAAACACCTAGAAGCCACCTAGCAACCGTAACACAGCTCAAATTTACTTCAGGAAATCTAAAAATCTAGAAGTTGTTAGGCCAACTTTACAGTCTAAAGGCCTTTTCATACTGAATTAAATATCTCAGAGATCTGCTGTCTTCTACTAAACCTTCTTGGTGAAGAAGATTTTCTAAGTACTTGGAAATAATGGTTTTGTCCTTACACCTCTAAAATGCTGAGCTCTAATGCTGCAGATTAACACTAACATGAAAAATCAAATGATCACAGAATATTCAGCCAGTAAAATAAAATACATGTTCAACCCAAAGACACTGAAAAGGTTGCCAAAAAGTGTGAATTTGAGCACAAGTGCACCTGCAGGACAGAGAGAGGGCAGTTCCATTAACCCACATCCATCTCTGACACTTAAAAACACAGCCATTTATAACAGTCCTGACAGTACTGTGTCCCAGTAACCCTTCCTGTGCCAGGGCGTTAATCCACCAGACCTGGGCTGTCTGCTCATTAGAGCTCAAAACAGGACAATCTCATTTACAACACTTCATTTGGCATAAAACAGCTTAATTGTCCTAGCACAAAAGATTCAAAACTCACCTGTTTTTTATTTTAAGGAAAATCCAGACAACTCTTACATAATATGAGAACATAGTAATATATGATATAATATAATACAATATACCGTCTTG